GGCTGGCAGAGGAGTTTTGGCATTAGTCTGGGAGGAAAATAGCCAGTAGGTGGGTGGGGGAAATGAGACTCGATGGGCAGCTGGAAGGAGGGACACAAACAAACTGAGGAGTTAGAGGAGGAGAATAGGAACAAGGAAGTAAAGTGAAAGTGAAAATTAGGACTGGAAGTCTGCAGGATTCAGACTAGACAAGGACAGGGGGATGAGAAACCTGAGGAGTGGAGACTGGGACTGACTATCAGAAGGAAGAGGTAAGAAAAGTACTGTAAAACATTAATACAAAAGATGGGGAATGACAGTATTAAGGCTGCCTGTGAAATCTTTATTTATCTTTTTGTGCATATGCATTATCGATACCGTCTTTAATTATTACAATCACAAATTATTTTTCCATAGGATATCTGCTTCATTCAACGCACAGGATATTCAATATATTTTTCTCCATTTTGCTCAATGTCTGACCCCAAGCCTTACTTACTGTACACTCACTGAACCCTGTTTGGAAGATGGAATTAATTTTCTCCTAGGATTTTCACTACTGCTTATTATCATACTGGCACTGAGTGCTTCACAGTATTTATGAGTTTATCTCTGTAACCCCTCTGTGAGAAGTATTATTTGCATTTTTATGAAAGGAAACTGAGGCACAAGGCAATTAAGATCAAAAGCATCACCTAATTTTTGATGCTCAGAGTGAGACACCTGGTATTTCAGAGTGCTTAGCATTATACTGTACGTAATATGTTCAAAGCACAGAGCATCTTGACTTCAGCTGAGGCTGTGACTGCTTAACAGTTGTGCAAATTAGACTCCAGGCTTTCAGGTCCACTACAAAAGGAACACTTATTTAGGGATCACTGTGAAAAAGTAAGGTTACTTAACTTGCCCTGCATCACATGGGAATTTCTTAGCAGAAGCAAATACATAATCCAGTTCTCTAAGGCGGCATTCAGTTATTTTAACCATGAGGCTGCCTCCCTTTTTCACCCTGTAATCCCCCATCTCATTCGCTCCCCACCTTTTAACTTCTGCAACAGATGAAGTAGGGTTTCTTACAAACCGCCCCCGTCAGTACAAAACCTCAATTCATCCTCAGTACTGTACAGGGTGGGGAAGAAACAGCACATGATCTTGTGTGTAATGGTAAAGTCTTTAATTTATATGTACAAGACAGCTCAATTAAGGTAGCACCGGCAGTCAAACTTTTGACTGCTTGACTCTGCAATCTTAACATTACTCTTGAAGCATGGGGGCGCTTGGCGCACAGATTACAGAGTTTAATTTTGCCCGCTGGGTGGCAGTCACGTTTCACTGGGATCAGAATATATATGTACAAACCTATAGACACATCCATAGAGGAGTACAAAATTAAAACACTTAAACACTGTGCTTCTTACATGCCTGAAACTGAAAATAAAACAAAGCAAACAATAAAAACATTGGGGTAGGCTTCAGCAGCACAGCTTGCTCCCCCATTTTAACACTGGCTTCTGGTTAGCAGGACTGTCATGTTAAATGAAAGAAATGTTTCAACTCGCTAAAGTCTGTGGCTGTACAGGAACTGACACTATTTCAATGAATCTAAAGAGGCAAGGATTTTTTGGGAGCTGATAACTTTTATTGGACCAACCGCATGGCTGGGATAAAGCTAAGACAAGCTTTTGAATGCAAGGCATTCTTCATCCTGGGCCACCACGGTTACAGCACGACTCTGACACTACCACAACAGAGCCAAAGGTATTCAGAAAAGTTTGGTTTACGATTCCTAGCCGTGACTCACAATGACTTTGTGGCACCTTTTTCAGAAGTGCCAGGCAGAAGGGAATAACCTGTGACAAGGGGAATAATCAATCTCGAAGGGTTATAATAACCCCGTCTTGAAGGGCTATAATAACCCTGTCTTGAAGGAAAGAGCCTCTGCCTCAAAGGGTTATAATCACCTTGTCCTAAAGGGGTCAGCCCTGTCTTGAAGGGGGCAGCCCCATCTGGAAGGGTTATAACAACCCTCCCTACAAGGGGAATAAACCTGTCTCAAGGGGAATAACCCAAGGGAATAATCTTGTGTTGAGGGTTATAATAACCCTCTCTCCATGGAAATAACCCCACCTTGAAGGGAAGAGCCCCTGCCTCAAAGGGTTATAACCTCGTCATAAAAGGGACAGTCCCATCTGGAAGGGTTACAACACCCTCCCCGCCAAGGGGATATAACCCCATCTCAAGGGGAATAATGTCCACCTTGAGGGGTATAACCAGTTGTGGAAGGGTTATAACCCCCCACTCCATGGAGATAACCCCGCCTCAAAGGAAAGAGCCCCTGCCTCAAAGGGGTATAATAACTTTGGCCTACAGGGCACAGCCCCACCTGAAAGGGTTATAACAACCCCATTTGCAAGGGGAAATAACTTCCACCTTGAGGGGAATAACTTTGTGTGGAAGGATTATAACAACCCCCACTCCATGGAGATAACCCCGCCTTGGAGGGAACAGCCCCCCTCAAAGGTTTATAATAACCTTGTCCTAAAGGGGACAGCCCTGTCTCGAAGGGTTACACCCCTCCCCGCCCCAGATAACCCCATCTCAAGAGGAATAAGCTCACCTTGAGGGGTATAACCATGTGTAGAAGGGTTGTAATAGCCCCCTCTCTGTGGCGATAACCCCGCCCGGAAGGGAAGAGCCCCCTTCCCAGGGGTTGACAAGACCCCCGCCCCAAAGGCCAGCCGGCTGCGGAAAGGGACAGCCCCGCCTGGCCCGGGGGGCACTGACAGCAGCCCCGTGCAGAAGGGAGGAGCCCCCCCAAAGGCCGCCCACCAGGGAGGAAGAGCCCGCTCTGAGGGGCGGCGCCTCTAAAGCCGAGGCAGAGGTTTGCTTTTTGTCCGGGGGGGGGGGGGGAGACGCTGCCCCCCTCCCCCCGGCTCCCCCGAGCGCCTGATTGGTCACAAAGGGCTCGCGAGCGACCTGTAGCGCGCGCCGGGGCCACTCACCCACTCGGCGTTGCCTCCGCGCGCGGCTCCCCGCAGAGCGCTCGCTCTCCCGGCGGGGGGGGGGGGGGAGACGCTGCCCCCCTCCCCCCGGCTCCCCCGAGCGCCTGATTGGTCACAAAGGGCTCGCGAGCGACCTGTAGCGCGCGCCGGGGCCACTCACCCACTCGGCGTTGCCTCCGCGCGCGGCTCCCCGCAGAGCGCTCGCTCTCCCGGCGGGGGAGGTGGGGGAGGAGGGAAGAGCGCGGATTGAGTCCTCTCGGCGCCCGTAGGTCGGCTCCCCCCCCGCCCCCCCCGCGACAGGCCCGGCGCTGCCTCCGGCTCGGTCGGCAGGGCCTGCGCGCTGCGATGTGAGTGCGGGGCGGGCGTGCGGCGGGAGGGGACGTGCGCGAGGCCTGAGGCGGCCCCCGGGGGTCACTCGGGTCCTGCAGAGCGCGGGGTCTCGGGGTCCTGGCGGGGCGCCTCCGTGGGCAGGGAACCTGGTTTTCTCTGCCTTAAAAAAAAATATCCACGATTTTCGGATTACAAAAGTAGCCCCAAATCCACATTTTTCCGCGATTAAAATGAAACGCCACTATATGTATTTCTGTTTCTCTCTCTATATGAGTGGCGTTTCATTTTAATCACAGAAATGTGGATTTGGAGTTACTTTTTTTAAATCTGAAAATTGGGTTTTGGGGTGGCTGCTGTTTTTTTTTAAATAGGAGAAAACTAGGATCCCTGCTGATGGGGCATGTCGACCCTGAGTCTTTGCCTGGGAGGCCTTTTGCAGCCCTGTGCAGTGCAAAAACGGCACTCTCCTTTTCCTGGAGGCAAAGAAATGAGTGAAGAAGAGGGTGGGGTGCCTCAAGTCTCCAAAGCTCGACTTGTAGGAGCAGAGAGGTGGGGCTGGAAGGGCTCTGGGGAGGGCTAGGCAGGTGATTCTCAGCCTTTTCTGTACTCATTTTTTGGCTCATTTGTAAACAGCATTGGCCAGTCCTGACCCAGTGCCCTTCACTCTCGACTTGCTCCCCAGGCCTCCAGTGTCTGGGGCAGGGAGCAGTGTGTGGGGCTGGGGGGCCCCCCCAAGCAGCCCCTTGCAGGCTGGAGCTCTGCCAGCCTGTGAGGGAAAGGCCACGGTTTCCTATGTTCTTCTCCTTTGAAGGAGAATCCATTTTTAGAGCTTGTTCATGACCCCACTGTATATTCGTGCAGCTCACTTTTGGGTCATCACCCACAGGTTGAGGAACGCTGATCTAGTCCAATCCCTGCCTGAGCTAGGATCATCCCTATCCAAACCATCCCATACAAACAGCCAGTCTTGCGGGGGTGGGGTGCAGAGGAAGACAGCCCAGGCTGTGACATGTGGCCAGTCCTGCTGCCCCCCCATGGAGTGCAGCCCTCTCTATCCCCACACACGGCTCTCAGGCACGCTGGGAGCTGTAGTCGATGGGGGTGGGCAGCCTTCAGGAGGTGTAGCAGCCCCCATGGTGGCAGCTTGCTCTTACCCTCGCTCTCCAGCTGCATCAATTGGCATCTCCCCAGCCTACCTCATCCCCTTCTTCCCATGTAAGGCAGTGTAAACAGCTGTGACAGGGAGCTGAGACCCTCAGCAACTCACCTGAACTCCTTAAGTGGTCCTCCAGCCCAAATAATTTCCCACTCCTGATCTAAACTCTACATAGGTCTGTCTATGTGGCAGTAGTCTTTGCACCCTAACCTGACACAGGGGGAACCGCTACTATATATCCATGAGTAGCAGCACTGTGCTGGCTAGAGCAGTGATTAACTGTGGTGGTTACCAGCATTATTCCTGGGCATTGTGTACAACCATCCTTTGGTCTGCCAACCTTTGTTATGCTTCCTAATACAGGGCCATATAGTGCATCTGGATCAACATGAGCAAACTCCTGGGCCCCCACAGAGTTCCTGCT